CGGCTAGCACCATTGGAGGGTGTGGAAAATGATGAGTTTGCACCCATTTTGGTATTCGTCTTAGCTCTTGCGATGACCTCATTCCCAGCCAGAGCACCGGACAAGAGATCCTGGATCATTTGGTAGGTTCGATGAACAATTTCGCCAGGTCCCTTTAAGTAAACCATCCTCTCCGTCACTTCATCGCCTCTTGCACTTTCAATATCAATCTGGATACCAGACATATTGCGAAGAGCACTGACAACGGCCCCACCTTGACCAATAATCTTACCAATATCATGCTTCGAAACCGATATTGCAATCTTTCGTTTCGCCGAGCTACCAGATCCAGAAGGACCGCTGGTCTTCCAATCACTTCCAGAGAAGTTGTCAGTTTGGTTAACCATAGAAGTAGGAGCACGATGGCCACGGTTACTGCTACCAGGTTGAGCAACCAACCAATCGTTTCCGGCAGTAGAGCCGGAGGAATGATCAAAAGCGGAGGTATCCCACAACACGGAGTCGCCTACATCAGCCTCTGCAGCTGCAATGCTTGCCGTGGGAGAAGCGGCAGATTCGAGAGTCTGTTGAGAGGCAGTAGGCTTGCTCCGCTGTGATTGCTGTGGCTGTTGTTGGGGTTGCTTCTTAGAGCGATTCTTCTCTCTTTTCGTCTCAGAAAAGTTGGATTGAGAAGGCATGGATTTACTCGTGTCAGGCTCTTTTTGAACAGACTGCTCAACTGTTTGCGACGGAGGAGTTTGATGTTTGTTTTTCTTCTTCGAAGATGAAGGTTCAAATTTGTGCTGATGCTGCTGTTCAGTGTTTACAGAAAGACTTTCAATAGCGTTGTTGGAAGATGGGGAAAGTTTGTTCTGACCAGGTTGTACAATGGAGGTGGATTCCTCGACCTTAGGAATGATTTCGGTTTGTTTTCTGAAAGGGAAATATGAGTAAATGCGAGCGATAGTGTTCGAGTAGAGGTGCCAACGTAGTTATTTGCATAAATGCAAGCGCACTACATCAAGTGACTAAGGGAAATGAACACAAGAAGAGCACACACAAACCAAACACCAACAAACAAGTCCACTTGCGCCATCTACCACCATTATTAAAGGACCACAACAAATTCAGACTTACACAGAAGATTGCTCCTCATCTAATTTGTTCGAAACGGTCTTTTTTGGAACAACTTCAGAAACGGCAGCAGCAGCAGCGGCAGCTGCAGCAGCTTTCTCCTTGGCAGCTTCAGCAGCTGCTGCAGCCTCCTGTTTTGCTTTACGCTTATTACGCTTTCTCTCCCGCTTCCGGGCCTGCATTGCCTCTTTATTGGCACGCTCCTCCTCCTCTTGTTCAATCTGTTCTAGTAGAACGCTAGCATTTTTCCTCGCTTCTCCTTCCTGTTTCTCCTTTGCGGCTGATATGATCTTTCGGCACTGCTGACATCGTTCTGCCAACTCCTGGAAGAAACATTAATGCCAGAAACCTGTGAAAAAGCCAACCTTTTCTCCCCAAAATTCCGTGAAAACAAACGCGTCAAATTGTAGATTTACTAATTTAGGCCACAACAGCAGACAACATGGATAATGGTGTCAGAAACGCATGCTGCTAATGAGTTTAAAAACTGACACTCAATGGTAGATCTCTTTTTAACTAAGGTTGGAAACACCAATACTTGATCGCACCTACAGAACACCTCCAACAGCAGGCGACAATAAGCGCTCATGATTGTGTCGCTAATAATCACATTTCGCCCTTCCGTCAGTTACGACTTTAATCATGGTGACTCTATTGCATTACCGTTTCAAGCAAAGTGCCATGACTACGGTTAGGGAACCCTTAGTCCTCCTGTAAGGTCATCTACACCGTATCCCTTGTTGAGATGGAAGCAGAAGTGAAAACTTAACTTATTCACTTTACAAGCTTGGAAGTTGCTTCAGCTCAAAATGGACGAAGAAACTTAGGCGTCTGAAATGACATCGTATTAGATTGCTGCTTCAAACAAAACACCTACAGATATTGCATGAGCATCGTGAGCAAGAGTAGAGGCCAATGATAGGCACAATGAAAACGGAGACACAGTCTTTACAGGCAGGGCTAAGATCAAATTTCACCATAACAAAACGCGCAAAATAATAGGACCATGTGCGCTCCCGACACGCTTGGCTGGAAGGGAAAAAACTAAAAGGCGCTCATGCTCACACCAATTAGGGGTAGATTAAGGTCGTCAATTAAGTCGGTACGCACGTATGAGGATATATTCACTAGCTCTTAGAGGCCAACTTCGAATCGGAAGATAATCACAAACATTTTTATCACGAAAATTCGAGTGATGCGTCACCTTCACATACCAAGAAAATTAACATCCAATCTCAGCTAGGATGATTGACGAGTACCGTGGAAATTAAGTTCACCGATGTGTAATCAATTGGGGACAAATAGCGAGCCTATCAATAAAAAGGGCCTGACCTTCCAACTCATGGTATTAGTAACTACGATATGTGAATGACCTGCGGCGAGCGTCTCAGGGCGACCTTAAAAGCCATCCCAAACCGATCGGTGTATGACATAATCTGACTTCTTCCGACGAACTATCAACGGAAGCTAAATAAAGTCTCAAAGGTGGTGCGTACATAAAAAATCGAAACAACCATCAAGAGATATAGTTGAAACTTGCCCCCAACTTTGAGAAAAAACAAACTTACCCATCACTTATTTTATGAAAGACGACAGCAAATCAGCAAATTAGTCAAAAATTATCGATTATTTTAAAAAGGGGAAAATCAATGCATAGATCTTATTAGCGGGAAAAGAGCCTGAAATAAGTAACTGAATGAATGTCGCATCATATTGGTCGACTAAATGAAGTGCCAGACCAAAGAAACATTTCCAAAGGTCATCTAAGAGCAGTGGTGTCATTTCAAAAGCGGAAAACTTGGAACAAACAGCCGGCACAACGCGATCAAGACCCATTTACATGGCTTTCGGTTTGTGTGTAAACGAGTACGCAGTTCAATGAAAGTGCAAACGCTTTCCATGCACACGGAACATGTCTTTTATGTATGCATTAAGCTCAAAAGCTCAACAGCACTGCCCGTAAATACTCACAGAAAACTTCTAAGTGACCTGACAGGTCACGTTAGGCTAAGACCGTAGAAGTGCTAGTGGCATTAAATAATAACGTAACTACCACTTGAAAATAGCATAGCACCATAAATGGAGGCGCTGAGACGATAGCGCCCAAAGTCCAACCCCACTGCAGCATTTCACGCCCACGAATGAATACCGACCTTCGCGTTACCACTGGACACGTAAGGACGCGCACATAGTCACCAAAACAATTGCGAATAAGGACGCGTGTACTGGAGGAAGATCGAAATTTAAGAGAGGGTTATCACGTGACTGCCTTCAGCTCCTGTCTTGCATTAACC